TCAATGATGTTGACATGCTCCTGGCGCTGGTATGTGCTTATCACCTACAGCATGAAGGCTGCACACAAAACCCAGTCACCGATGCTTTCAAGATGGCACAAGGCCATGCACTGTTGGCATCCTCATTAATCTTCCTATCCAAACATGGTGAGTGGGTCATTAATGTTTTACATTTGTTGTTGTTTCTGAAGTGTATCAAGAAAATAATTGAAAACATTGCAAACCACAAGAGTAAAAGATTTTGGGATCACTTCATAAATCATTGTGTTCAGAGAAGCTGCCTGTTCATATTACATATTGCATTTCAATTAATTTAACTTCAAGTTATTTGTTGTTTCATCACCTGTGTTCCAGTATATTTTTTTTATTCTTAACCTTTATCGCATAAAAGTGGGAATAGGTCAGTCAACTTTATATTTTTAGTTAGCATTTTGGTGACATGTTAACTTTCATTTTTGAAATCCATACAATGTTGACGGAAAATTTAGAAACCTATTTCATAATATACTTAGTGAATAATGGATCTTTTAGTGTGAATTTTTTTTTTATGATTTAGATGACCCTACAAGAGTTTTAGAGTCCAGCGTTGAATCAAAAGTTAACTCTGTTATTCTCCTGTTGACTAACTTGTATGACAACATCGACACATCAGATCTACTCTACACCAATGATGTTGAGGCACTTATTGGTATATTTGAAGAGTTTCTACGAGACTTAAGCAGAGATGATCCAGTTAGTCAATTTTTTATTTTAGCTATATAATTGGTCAGATTATAAGGCTGATTTGTGTTTGTATAAATTTTTCCCATTTTCTTTTTTTTTCTTTTCAGAAGCGGAAGGAAATACTTCATCTCCTTGAAAATTTCATGAGAAACTATCCTGATACAGTTACACTCCGGGGATCCCTGAGCCAGCGATTAGGTCCCCTACTTTTCAATATAAGAGAAGAGAAAAATAAATTTGGAGAAATGGCGGCCCGTGTACTGGAGGACAATAGCGTTATTTTTTGTGATGCATAATTGATTTCAGGCTCATATTTAGATGTTTCTATGGCTTGAGACTAAGTTTTAATCCCTCTTGAAAAGGCATTTTTAACACTTGTTGGTGGTTATCTGTTTTGTAAATTATGCTTAATGTAATCTGGAGTGTAACTGTACACAAAAATATATCTTACTCTTCTGATCTACTTGATCATTAAAAATCAGTGTGTGGATTGTTTTTTTTTTTATAGTAGGGACCATAATATTAAAAGCTGAGTGCGAAGTTGTTCAACTAAGAGTTTCGGTGAAGGCATATTTTTGGGATTGCAGGACCTTCCTTAGTCCAGCCAGCTCTTGTCATTAATACGTGACACTTATAAAAGCAGTTAGCACTCCAGATAGTATTTGGCACTGTGGTCTTGTGCATTTCTGTGTATTTGTAAATTATGTTATGAATAAAAATTGCTTGTACTTGGTTTAGTAAATTTTAATATTTAAGAATTATTTAGTCAATATTAATTGTTTCAATTGATTATAAGCACTAATGACTTGTATCTCACTTTTCATGATGTTGAGTTTTACAAACATCTGTTGAGGCATTCATCTCACTGTTAATATATACAAAGTTAGTGAACTAACTGCTGAATTCATAAGACTATAGAATATATAAAGTACTTAGCATTTCTAATTGTTATGAAATCAACATCATTGACGTTCTAGCCGTATAATGTATAGCCGTATGATATAATCAATAGCTGTATAATGTGTGTTATAGAGGTTTATTTACTACCTTCTAATACGTGTAATCATACTTGTTGGGGGTTTGTGGCATTGCTTTCCTGGCTAACATTTTACTGCTATGTTCTAGAAGTATCGTGGGTAGTGGTGAAGTAGACTCATAGTGAAGAGGAAAACTGTTAAATAAGCTTAGACATGAAATGATTGTCACAAGGTGGCAAGAAGGGAAAGCATTTTAAAATATACGTGATAGTATTAGCTACAAAAATATAGGCAGTCATTCCTTAGCCACACAGACCCACATAATAATACATGAGCTTGACTAGTATTGATCCTAAAGTCATTTCTTATTTTCCAATTACACATATAAATAGCAAAAAGTAATTATTTATTTTCTACTTTATAAAAAAAAATTATTGTTGGTTATCTTATTTTATTTTATAAAATACAGATGTTACTTCAAAAAAGAAGATGATTACATCCTTGTCTAAGTCTTCACTACAGCTCAGTTTTGTGTGTGTCACTGTAAAAACTGTACTGCATCTTGTACATACATTGAAATAGAACTCCATGGTTTACATTCATTCTGCTCAATTCTCTGATCATTATTTATCAGCTCTATTTCAATCTTTGCCTTTGTGATGGTACCTAGTGATTTATGCATTTTCCCTTTTACATTTTTTATATAAAATTTACAATATTTTAATATTATCTCCAGTACAAAGCACTACTATTGAAATTGGCTGCTAATCCATTCTTTACCTAATGAAAAGTTTCAATTTTCTTGTAAAATGGCTTAGCTTATTAGTATTAGTAAGTTAAATGGCATTAAGCTCTAGTAGAAATTGTAACATTCTGTATCTGGGCTCTTGAGCTGATTTTACAAACTTTGTAGCATCATATTTGCTTTGCTTGACTTCAGTTATCTTGCTCTATGTGTGCAATACATGTTTAAATCATTATATACACAGAGAAATGTTGGAAGCTGGTTGGTGAGACATTTATGATTTGTTTTTTTCACTTGTTTTCATAACACATATTCCATTTTAAGGTGATACTCTTTATCTGATTTTTTTTTCAATTTCATGCTCTAAATGTTGTATTTATATTTATGTATTTTTTTTTTAGTGATTTTTAAAAATATGATTTCAGTGACTGTATTTTAAAGAACATTTAATATTTATCATAATTTACATTCATCTTAAATAATGTTTTGATTACTCAAGGTTATATATATTTTAGCGAAGTCCATTTGAATAAGAGGGCTACAAATCAGTTCAAATGGAGTGCTTTACATAGAACAAAAAAAGTTATCATTTTCAGGTTTATATCAATTCCTGAAAGCTAGTTAACTTTCTGGAGTTATAAGTCTTGAAGCTAGTTGAAAAACTTCTTTGACATATGCTCTGACCTAACTTTATTGATCTCAAGGTAGTATTTATATACCAGTGACAAATTACATTGTCTTTCAAGCATGTGTTTCTTCTATATGGTTCCAGCATTTTCTTCTAAAATTTAATTGAAAAAAGTCCAACGTTCTTCTCACTGCATGATTTAAAATTTTCTCTCTCCATATTCTGCAGTTTCAATAAAAAATTTCTTGATAGTGTTTGTCTGATTGGTTTAGGGTACCCTAAATTTCTGAAAAGAAAAGTGGACAACTTTTGCTTCTCTAGAAGAAAAAATTAGCTTTATGTTAAAAGGAAGGGTACCTTGTATGTCATCAAGGCTTTTTTTTTTACTAGCTAGTTTGGGTTTTTGTGGCTTTCTACATCTTGGGAGATATTTTCCCTTTACAACTTCTCATGTGCTTAAATAGGCCAAGCCAGTTGGGTATATTGTAGTCATCTGATGCTGCATAATTTTGAGACTTTGTTTCTGCTTATGGTGTGCTAGATATCTGTTATCCAAGGTTGCTCCTTTAGACTTGCCCTCATGTGAGTGTATTCTGTTCTTTTTTTTTTTTTTACCAAATGTTGGTGTCTATCTGGAAGTGCTTTATGTCACCCTCACTATGCTGTAAATGCTCCAGTTGTTGAGAAAACTTAAGTGATTCATTAGTATTTTGTGCTAAATTAATCTATCAAAACTCAGTCTACTCCTGTTTTTGTACAGCTCTTACAAGTTTTTAGTGTAGATAACTGGAAATGAAAGGTGTAAAGATTTAGTGTGTCAATAACAGTATTTTACATCAAAACAATTTAAATTTTACAACTAGATCTACTGTCTGATTTAAAGAGGATGTCACTATCCAATTACTATTTTGTAACCTAACAGAAAATAGTTTTAAAAATAATATATTTTGCCTAATTTTAGATTTTGGTTAGAGAAATGGCTTTTTTTTTTAAATATAAAAACAGATTTAAGGCATTTGTTTTACATATAAATTATGTATGTTTAAAAAATTATCTGCTTTGAAAAAACATTTTTAACAGATTTAAGGCATTTGTTTTACATATAAATTATGTATGTTTAAAAAATTATCTGCTTTGAAAAAACATTTTTTTAAATTTTTATTTGCATCAATCTATTCCACTGTGGTATAGCGAGACCAACAGTCACAGGGCTGTACGTGGCATGAATTATTGGTCTAGGCTGCCCACAGGTTGTGATGTTGCAGGTCAGTGTTGAGGCCTTCTATAACCAATAGTTCATTTGTACTGTCTAGGACAGCCAGTTTTACAAACTGTTATAAAATTTCAATATCAAACTTTTTCTTGGTTTGACTTGTTTGCATTCTTATTGAGTTCACACTTCAATTTAGCATAATGAATGATGGGATCATTAATAAATACACCAAATTTAAATGATTATTAAATGACATTCAAAGGATTGTGTCATCATTTAGTTTGAAACTCAGCTTCAATATTTTAATTCCATGTATATTATTCAACGCTGTTGCAGCCAATAGGTGACTCGTGTTAATTTCTTTTTAACCTTATATTACTGTACTTTCTTAGTTTTCAGTATTTTGTGGGTCAATGTCTGTGTTGTTTTGATGATTTTTCTTCAAATGACTTCAGGACATTTTCAAATTGTATTATATGTCCAATACAATACACACATTCTTTTTTTTACTAGTTATCTTCAGAGTAGTAAGATTTACATTAGCTTTTTATGTTATGAAAAAGTTCACTATTTTGATTTAGCAGACATGCAATATACTTTAATAATTTAACCTTTTTCTTTTTTTTTTAAACATCTCAGCTTAGTACAGTACTGAAAATAAAAACAGCTTAGCATTTTAAACAGCATTGCATTACTTTATTCAAGCCCTCCCTCCCCCCCCCCCCCTTCCCATTTTTGTTTTACAAAATAACACTGTTTTTCCAATACAATCTATACGATTTTATTTCATTTTTTTTTCTTTTAATAATATTTCAAATTTTTAGCTAGAGTGTATTTGGTAGAGACAATTATTGCATGCTTCAATTTCACTACCTCACAATCACAATTACAATTATTTTGTAATAGATAACACCAAAATAAAAACATGTCTGTTGTTTTCAAGTAATGCTCATAGAGTGCTTATTGTGTTTAAGTCTTATTATCATGATGTGTTGACTTCAATAATATACAGACCTATTACTAAGGAAAAAAAAAGTTGCAACATCAACACAGTACAAGCTAACCATTAAATAGCAGTAATAATTTATTATTACAATTATAACATAACAATGATACATTTGTAGATTAGAGAGTTGGCAGCTGAATGATTTGAAAGTTGGTGAAGAGCAATAGATAAGGTTGTACATGTAAGGGCAACACAGAAAAGGTTGTACATGTAGAGGGCAACATAGAAAAAATCCCATGCAACAAGCAAATATTTACTTGTAATTTTTGCAATCATCTCAGCATTTCAGAGAATAATTAAAAAGAAATAGTTTTGAGCAGTGATGCATACATTTCAAGCTAGTGACCTGATGATATCCAGCCCCTCCAAACTTCTGACCAAAATACATAATGAGGTCAAGTTCCAACGGACTCAATTTTTTAATTATTTTTTTTTTGCATTGAGGCAGCCCATGACATGCTTGTGGCTAAGTCATGTGGTCCCCCCCCCCCCCCAGCCAGAAAATAGTTGGGCACCACTGGTTGTAATGAAGCAGTGTTTATACTCAAGTCCTTCTAACTACTGCAAGTGCTAAAGATTTGACTAACAGTTTTAAAATACAATTGGTTTTTAATTGTATGCAATTCATGTTATTGCTTTAGAGCATAAAATGTTAATTCAGAATTAGCACATTTAAATTGCACAAATAGGAAAATAATGTTACAAAGAAAAACTAAAACAAGTGTCAATGTACAATCAAAGAGCTTGTTTTTTTTTAATGCAATGAGTTTGCTTTTATAATGATGTATATTTTGTTATAAAGCGTGTTTCTTTAACACTTAATAGTGTCTTATCTGTAATAATGTTGAGAGTTGTAGCCTTGACCTTAGACATGCTACCAAATGGAAAACATTTCCAATGAATTCAAATGGTAAAGAGGCGAACGGAAGATAAGAGGAGAGGGTAACTGAACAAGCAATAGCAAGGATGAAGTTTATGATATCAAGTGATGATAATTTTCACACAAACTTCATTAATATGAATATATAACTGTACAAATATACAAGATCTGGATAATTATAATAATTAATATTATAAGAAACACTTAGCAAATAAAAGGTACAGTTATGATTATAGTACCATCCGATGACTTTGGATCTTATCAATATAAGAACTGTTAATGGTGAATTCTTACTAGAACTAGAATGATGACTAAGTATTGACTGAAATAATTCAAGTAACAACATTATGCATCATTTACATGTTAAGTAGATGAAGATTGCATGATGATTTGTTAATTTAATATACTTTAGCTTAAAAGAAACTGAGCAGAATTTACAAATTATTTTGAGGGTAATCAAAGCCCAACATATTAGCTATGTCTCTTGCAATCTCTCAGTGTTGAGAAAAATCTCTCTTAGACTAGTAAATGAAGCCTAGTTGGTCAGATAAGGTAGTTCTCCAAACATCTGTGATTCGAAAAAAAAAAAAACGGACACAAAATCCTGAAAACAAAAGGGCAGATTTCAAACCAAAGTTTTAGAGAAATGTGCTGAAACAGTAACAATTCATGAAGCTATCAATAGAATCAGAAGCTGCCATATAAATCATTCATGCACATCCATAGACTGGACCCAGAGATTGCAGTGTTTCTGGAATTGAGCTTAAAAGCAAAAAAATATGAGGTAAAGGTAAAAAAAACTTCTTCTCCACTATGATTTACTTGAACACTATGATTAACTTGAAGAGTAAGAATCTGAACATTAGATTATAATATTAAACAGCACAAAACTGCAATAATGACAAAAATCTCAGATCACACTTTGTATGTTGGATATAATCATGATGCACATTAACAGGAAACAAATATATGGATAGTTCACTGCTTAAGAAAAAATGAATTTTTTTATTAGCATAAAAAATCTAATTAGGACAAACACTAAAAAGACATGACAACAACAAAAAAAAAAGCCTGTTACGTTTGTAGTCCAGGCAACAATAAATTCATTGAATTCAGCCCAGGCAACCATAAATTGATTGAATTCAGTCCAGGCAACAATAAATTGATTGAATTCAGCCCAGGCTTGTTACTTACACCCCTTTCGATGTATTTACACCTGTAACATGAACTGCCTAACCTCTAAAAGCCATTGGATCGTTTCTTCTTTTCTCCACCTTAACAAGCTTCAACAACCCAGTACAAACATAGAAATAAAATGTTCAACTCATGTCAAGATTTTATTTAACAAAACAAAAAAAAAAACTTCTGTTATTACAATCAGAAATTTGAGGTACCAATTATTAAAACAAATATTATTTTGATTATTCTTCCAAACAACTTTCTCTACTTCAAAATTTGGATGCTACAGACATCTAGATAAGACAACAGCCTTTGTATATGAAAGAGACTATTTAAAAGATGCCATTACATTTTGTGTACCAAATAATTCAAATGTATGAAGATTGAAAATACAGAGACAAAGAAATATATCCTCTTGTGCCTCTCCAAGAAAATAAATGCAAAAAAAATACATTTATTCAGTGCAGCCAGTAGTAAGTTAAGTCATGGGTTTAAGGTCATGGACATGACAAGTGAGGTTTAAAAGTCATGGACAGAAAATAAGTCTACATTCATTGTGGATAGTGTTACAAGCCAAGCTTTACATTTAGATAATAAAGATAATCTTTTAAAAATACAGTGTAAATATGTGATACGGTTTGGCAATAGCAACATAGACAAATATTATATGCCTATACAATCATAGCTTATAAGAAAAGCTTTTTTTTCCCCAATACATTCAATCAGACACTATTAAATGTATATAATAACAAGATTTTAATACTTACTAGATATTGTGTTGTTGTTTTTTTTGTAGTTATTTAACAGATCATAGAATGTATGGCAGTTAAAATGTTTCCGTGAACTTGTGGGTCACAGGTACACCAACGGTCTTTAAAGAAAATATATAAATTTAATCATAAAAAAACTAATCATAAAAATGGTCCAATAGTAAAAGGTACTTCACAGGAAAAAAAAAAAGAAAGAAAACACACAAAAAACCCTAAGTGTTCAAAATTGTTCAATACTAAATTTTAAAAACAGTATATTTTGGCTTATAGGTTCCAGTAGGAAATTCTGACTGTAATTCTGTGACAAAAAGTTGAAGAACTGCTGCTGCTATAGTAATTGTTTGTGTAGCAACTGTTGTTGGAGGAACGAATGAAGGGTATGTGTTCTTATTCAGTGTAAACAGTGCTGCAAGACTAGGGTCAGGAAAGGTTCTCAACTCTGTTCACCAGTACCACTAGACTTCAAAATCTTTCTTTGGATTCGAACTAATTCTGGTGTCTGAGATTCTTCCACAATAACTTTCATTTTCTTTTCTTCTTCCTATCAAAATAAAAAAAAAATTCCAGTTTAATCAACAAATAAAACTTAAGACTGTCAATTTAAGTCAAATTAATAAAAATGTTGAGAAAAGTAAGACAGACTGAAGATCTCTCAAGTAGACAGACAATTGAGAATAGGTAGCAATGCTGTGATGGACTTGGGGGGAAAAAAGGTATATCCAATTAAAGAATTATTTGCTTAAAACCTAATAAGAAATTTACTTTCTTTTTTAACCTAATGGATAATAAAGATTATTATTGTTATTTTAAAAAAATTAATACATGCTTTCAGGTTATTGAATATTTCTATTTTTTAGCACCTTGAGGTAGCCAATTTTTATTCAGGTTTATACATTAGCTGTGTAAGATATGTTTCTATGCTTTTATGGTTGTTAAAGTTATTGATAACTTATTTCTTTACTGACTAGGGTTGGCTGTTTTTTTTTAAATCAAATAAGCTAAATCCAGCTAATAACAGCAGTTCTGCATTTGAATGTTTAAAAGGAAAACATAGACCAATCGTTTACTCATAAATAATGAATGCACAGTAGTTTGTGACTTTGCACTGAACAGAAAAAGATGCAGATGTTTTGTTACCTCCACCAGCTAAACTAATTCATATACCTAAGTGTGACGATACGAAACTTGCATGCAAAAATTCATTTGAGTTGTTCCCAGCCAACCGTGAGAAACTTTAAATTTTAACTTAATCATTATTTTCCTGTCCACCCACAACTGAATTCTTGTAGGATTTATCTCCCCTCGTACTGTTTCTTACGGGACGAATCTCGACGTAAAACATTAACTAGCTTCTCTAGGGCTAACTTTTAATTTTTGACCGCTGGACAGCTGACCAGCACACAATGGTCGCGGCACCAGCGCTACACGCAGCAGCTTAATAACTTTTCACGCCCATTCCCCCTTTCTAACCCCCCCCCCCCCCCGCAGGATACGCACCGCTCTAAGAATAGCGTTGCACCCGGACTGGACAAATGCATATTCGTCTTAGTCCCTACTCTCACCGCACAGGCCATAAATCGGACATGACGCCTGACATCTCCGGTACATCGATACCGGTGAGAAAATCACATAGCTTTCTTCCCCACCCGTTAAACGAAATGCCCCAACCTTATATATAGAGAGAGACCCAAGCATTCTAAGTTAGGCCCGCTAGGATTCATATAGTCTCCTGTATTAGGAAGTTTAGTTGTGAGGTTTCATTAGGGACAAACGGGTAAGTGTAAACATTTTACTATACTTATTTTATCTTATAGGAATGTGTGAGTACACATTAGTACACGACCACGTTCCCCGTCATTACATTATGACATTATTATGTATGTACATTGTGCTATTTTATGTCGATGTTATATCTTCATATAGTATTATTAATGCCGCTATGATTGTCTACCTTTGAAGCCTTAGTTATTATATTTGATGTGTTTTGTTTCATCCATTCCTGTATCTTAGTGATTGATGTAAACAATTACCTTTCGTGAATCTAAGTTCTGTCTAAGAACTTAGATCACAGTGCTCTAAACTTACAGAGCCCATGTGAAATTAATTATTTCACTTTTCTATTATATCCCTCATAAATATTATTATGTCTCACACACTCGTGAACTTATAATTCCTTAGATGAGTTTAATTTTGATTAATTATGTCAAACCCTTATCATTGTATCTCGATCCCTAGTATTTTATTTTCATCTTATCCTTTAGTATATAATATGCTCATTCCCCATTGTACTATAACTGATTGCTTATCGTCGTAATCAAAATTAATGGATGAATCTTGACTAGTATCATCCTACATTGTATGATGACACATTTATTGTGGTTATCTCACTCGTATCTTTTGTTATTGAGTTATAGGCATGCTTTAAGATTTTATACTTAATTGTCTTAAATGCCTTATTGGGATTGATACCAATGCCTACATCTGATTGATTGCAAGGCATATGGGAATCCCTGCTCAATGCCTTTAGAAGGTTCCTAATTGTCTGTCTTATCCCCAGCCTGGTTGCTACCCCTGGTTGCTACCCCTGGTTGCTACACCCGATTGCTACAACTACCAGATCTCCACCCAAGCTGTAACCGGGGCAGACCACACCAGATACCCCCCCC